ACGTTCTGACTTCAAGATAGAGCATAAGGCGCGTTGTTAATGTATTTGAGGTTCATACAAAATACAAATAATTTTCTGGATAACAGAATAATGTTGACTTATACAACCATATATACACACACATACAAAAAACACACACATATGTGTGTGTGTTTGTGTGAGTGTATGTGAGTATATGTTGACCCCTTTCAAGTCCCTATTAATGCATAGAGTGTTAATTACTATGTAGTCAAATAAATTCTAAAATGCTAGTGTAGTAGGTTCGATTTTAACAGAGTACTACGCAATAGTTAAAGTCTATGCAATGTATATATATATATATATATATTATAATCTTTATGAACCCCCCAAAATAACACTTTCAAAGTAAAGCAAAGTAACAGCGTCTGTTTGTAGCCTTTTTTTTACAAAGAAAATTAGTGACATCTTCTCTCTTAACGTCCTTCTCTCTTTTTCTCTCTATGGTTTTTTTCTTCTCTACCCCTTCAATATCAATATATAAATATGTATTATGAAATAAAACATAGACTAAATCTGTTGGGGTTTCTGTCTTTTTCTCTCTTTTTCTCTCTCCTTTATATATATATATATATATATATATATATATATATAGATAGATAGATAGATAGATAGATAGATAGATTGCACATTGAGTGAATACTGATGTTAATAAACTAGTGCACGATGTAATATAGCAGAGCTATAATTTATATTAATAAGAAATATACATTTTTTCCTCAGCGGTAGCACAACTCTAATTTTCATATATGATAAAAAATTCTAAAACGATGTTATATTAAAGCTTAAAATGCTCAATATCAGAGTTAGAGAGCATGTAAGTATAAAGGAGGACATGTTGTCAACACCCATTGGCGACAGTATGTTTAATTTCAAATGCAATCCTCAGGCTACAAGGTAAATTTTACATTTCATATATATATATATATATATATATATATATATATATATATATATATATAATTATTTATAAAAAATTATAACATAAGTATGTTATAAAATCACTACAAAAATAGCCATTTTTGTTTCAACACACTCTGTGTCTTATCAAGTGATGATGTTGAAAATAAAATAATATTGGAATTCATTCCGTATATACCAATTATATACTTGGGTATATATATATATATATATATATATATATATATATATATATATATATATATATTCCTCGCTGTTTGCACCTTCGAATTTTCATGCAAACAAAATCTTCCGATGCTACGGGTTAGGAAAATGTATATTTAGTAATATATAATTTATAGCCATGTTATCAAGAACTATTTTAAAAACACCAGCATGTGGTATATATATATATATATATATATATATATATATATATATATATAGAGAGAGAGAGAGAGAGGGGGAGAGAGATGGAGAGAGAGTGAAAGAGAGAGAAAAAATATATATATTTATATATGTCTGATTGAATAAATTATAGACATCATGCTTGCTAATCTTTTAACAAAATCCGTTCATATTCACGAAGAACCTTCTCTGTACTGATACTAAAGGATGGGAGAAATTTGCTATAGCTGTTTAAATTTCTTTTATTTTAATTTCCCAAGTACTTTCGTTCTTCTTCCAAGATCATCTTCAGGTTGTTCAGGGTTACAAGTATTTATTCAAAACTATGCGTTGCTATCCATTACTGTAATTTTCATTATGCTTTTAAGTCCAAACGGTTGACAATGTGCCGAGTGTCCATTAGAACGTTAAAAATTATCTATTATGGAATTTTTTCCTCTACGTTATAATATCATGGTCATGCGCGCATTAATGCTTGAAAAACCGTTCCTTTATAGGCATTTCAGAATTTTACTGAAGTATTCATGGCTGATTCTGTTCAGTGCCGGCTTTAATTTTTTAATATAAATTGCTACTAAGATCTGTAGCTTGAATTTATTATTTTCTTGGTGTAGAATAGTTGTCTTCTCGATCAATAATTTTTATATTGTGAATGTGGACAGGAATGTTGTTGATGTCTGACCATACGTCCATTCCGAGACGTCTACAACAATTTTCCTGCCGATATTCACAAAGGTTATTCATGATTATGAACGGATTCTGTTAAAAATTAGCAGGAGGCATAACGTCTGTAATTTATTCAGACATGCCTAAACACACAAATATATATATATACATGTGTCTATATATATATATATATATATATATATATATATATATATATATTTATACATGTTTCATTAAATAATATAGACAAGTGTTGTCTATTTATTTTATGTAAAATTTTTCGTATCTTCTGATAAGTTTGATAACATTATCATTAACCGAAAAAGAAATTCACAATATTTATCCATTATTTTTAATAAAATCTAAGCTTTCGGCTTACTCAAGCCATTATCAAAATGTAATTACAAACATATCAAACAATATACGGACACGACAGTGATGACAGTCTGTCATTGTTTTGTTTACATAGTGGATCACTAAGCAACGATGAACACGCGCATATAAGACG